TGTATCACAGAGCCCTGTTGTTCCAAGGTTAAGCATACATCACTATTTACCTCTGTCCCACTTAGGGGAACACTGAGACAGGTTTGCATGGGCTACGTGAGACAAAGGCTACGTGGGACAGAGGCAAACCTGTCTCAGTGTTCCCCTATCTATCTTGTTCTTCCACCTCCTTCCCCTTCTTGTATTGCCCTCCCCAACACCTGAACTATGATGTGTCTGCCTTTACCTTGTGCTCTACTATTGCCTCCCTCCAGCTCCCCCAAAACCTCCCACCCCAACCTCACTGTTGTGGTTACCTTATATTCCTTTAACGTTTCCCTCCATTTAAGACAGTCTATTTTATCCTGTAATTTACCTAACCTTCCCACCACCTGGATCTCTGTTCCTCTGTGTTTACCTTCTTTCAAACTGTAATTGTTTTGATCATAGACTGACCTCCCAGATCCTCTGAATTTGTTCTGTCTTGACTCTTCCATTTGTCAATTGATTTCCAGGTGGTTATGCCACATACATCATTCTCTGGTTGTTGTCTGTTCTTGTTGGTTCTCAGTCCACAGAAATCCCTTTAGGATGTTTCTCATAGCAGGGTTGGCTTTGGCAAAATCCCTTAACTTCTGTTTATCCTGGAATGTTTGATTACACCATCGTATTTGATTGACAGCTTTGCTGGGTAGAGGATTCTTGGTTGGCAGCTTTTTCTTTCAGGGTTTTATATATGTCTCCCCATTGCCTTCTTGCCTGCATGGTTTCTGTTGGGAGATCCAAGCTTAATCTGATTTGCTTGCTTTTGTATGCTACACTTCTATTTTCCCTAGTTGCTTTCAGGATTCTCTCCTTATCTTTGATTTTGGAGAGCTTGATTATGATATGTCTTGGTGTTTTTCTTTTAGGGTCTATCCTTCCTGGGGTTCATTGAGCTTCTTGGAAGCTTATCTTATTGCTTTTCAGGATGTTAGGAAAATTTTCTTCTAGCAGCTCTTCAACTATCTCCTCTGGGGACTTGTGTGATTCTACCTGTTCTGATATGCTGATAATTCTTAAGTTATTCGTCTCCATGTTGTCCAACAAGAATCTTAGGACTTTTTCAGATTTTTTTAATCCTTTTTTTCTGTTTGTTCTTCTATCTTAGTGGTATTGAGAGATTTATTTTCTAGCTCACTAGTTCTGCCTTCCATCTCTTCAATTCTACTCCTTTGCCCTTTCAGTGTATTGTCCATTTCTGATATTCTATTATTAATCGTTTGGATCTCTTTCTGTAGGTTTTGAATTCTTTCCAATGCTCTATCTATCTTATTTGATTGTTCCTGTAACACTTTCCTGACTTCTTCCTTACTTTTCTCAACTCCACTGTAAAGTGTTTTGATACATTTTATAATCATTTTCCTGAATTCCTTCTCAGGCATTTCCAAAGCCTTCCCTCCTTCCAGTATGGAGTGTAGGTCTACTTTCAGCTCATTTGTCTCAGTCACTTTATCTTGTTTCTGGACTTGTGCAGATATGGTCATTTGTTTCTGTTTTTTTGGGGTATATTCAGTGGTTAGCTGTGGCCTTAAAACTTAGATGAATGTGCATGTTTTGGCATTTTTTATGTTTTCTAATTGCATCCAGGTAGATGTGATCAGGAGATGGGCTTCCCTTTTCATTCTTCTTCCTGAAAAATTTCAAGATGCCACTGTTGGTCATTATGATGTAACTCAGGATTAAATTTTTGGCCTATTTCCTTTTTAGTCTGCCTGTCCTGCTCCACAACCCTCATTCGGGCCTTTTTCCAGTAATAAACAGTTCCGGGCCAGCTGTGGCCATTTTGCACTACCATTTGGTTTTAAGTGGAAATTGCCACTTTAACTTTCAAGGAAATCTGTGCTCATGCATAGTAGAACCCTCCAGGAGTGGGGTGAGGTGTTCACTCACTCAGGCACCTCCTCTAGTCACCAGAATGGAGGTGTGCAGACAGCAAGAGAACAATGAACAGATAAAAAAAAAAGAAAATAAAAGAAAAAAAATGTCCACACCTTTATCGCCACAGTTCTGTCTGGCGTCCAAGGCAGCTCTGATCCTTCCCTGTGCAGTCTTGCCCAAGATGACGGCTCTGAGAGCAGCTGAGCATCTTGAATTATAAAGCACTGGGTTTCTTGTTTCTGCTACAAATTCCCCTAGCTGTAAGCCTTCCAACCTTCTAAATATTACTTTATATGTGGCTCAGAGTTCTGGCACCATCTTCTGAGCCAGCTTGGTCCGGTATTCTGTGTTGTTGCTGACGGAGCTCCTTACTACTGTCTACCAGATCCACCATCTTGTTTGTTCTGCTCCTAGACTTGTTCTAGGGATAGAGGTGTGGACCCTGCAGAAGAAAACATACTTCAAAAGCATCGCCCTTCCTAATGTTTGGGCATAGGGTACTCCACAGGGGTGCTTCCAGAACATTCTGCAGGTATCACTGATTCCCAACCATCTTAGTCCCCATGTCTGTACAGGAAGAAGACCTCAGAAAGGTCTGTTTTCTGCTGGTTTTCTCAGGACGCCTCGAGGACTGGGGGGCCGCAGTCTGCAGCAGCTGGAACTGTGTTGGGGCAGCTGCTCAGTCTGTAGCCTCTTCACAGGACATTGTGGATGAGCAGCCTTGTCTGACCTTATGCTCCCCGGTTAGCACCGGTGCTCCCAGGTCAGCACCATGGACCATACAGATGCTCTCTTCAGCGTCCCGATCTTGTGTCTCTCTGTCACATATCAGACACACCCGCTGCTCCAGCATGTCCTCATCACACAGTCATTCCTGCAGGTGCCCAGGGAGGGCAGGCCAGCTGGCATCTTCTTTATAACCATGTCATCTGTGTCCCCTGCAGCTGAAAACAGCTCCCTGTGTCTAGCAGATCCAGTTGGAGCATGTGGGGAAGCTTGCGCAGGTTGACTCTTTTCCTTTGGGAATGATGTGATAACTGTGGCTTTGGACAGAGACCCAATGGCCAGCTGGTCCGTGGGGTGACTTTCTGTGCAGACTCTATGCTGCGAGGTGGCTGGAGACCCAGTTGTTGATTGGCCCATCACCGTTCCTGAGTCCACACTGGTTGCCAGCAGATCTGCAGACCAAGTGACAGGCACGGAGCACTTCCAGTCTGGAAGGCACTCAAGGAGCGCTAGGGATGCAGCAGGTAATTACATTGTGAATCACAAGGTTGGCGGTTCAAATCCACCACTGCTCCTTTCGAGCAAGATGAAGCTTTCTGCTCCCGTAAAGACCAACATTCTCAGAAACGCTAAGGAATGACTCCACTCATCTGTCAGCATTACTATGAGTGGATTTGATGACAGTGGGTTTGGAAGACAGTCAGCAGCCTTGAAAGACTTACTTCTGGGCTGTGTGGCTGTTGGTCCACTGGTTCATTCATACGGAAGCAGTCGTTTAGGGTGGTGATGGATTTTACCCAGGGTTGTAACTACCCCACATCCAAACTCCAGAAGAGCACACGGGAGATGGTGGACCGCAGCACCTCTGCTGGGGTATCTGATGGGAACCCCACTCTGCCTGCCTGGCCACCCTCTAGATTCAAGTGTCCTTATGAACAATGCCCACCTCAAGCTCAGCTGGGAGGGAGAAACTGTCCATGGGCTTGGCGTTGTCCAAGAGAGGGACCCTTGACCTAAACGTGAAAACCTCATGATCAGATCTTACTCCCTGGGCTGTCAGGATGGCACCCTCCACCCTCTGGGAAGGCCCTCAGAGACCCTGCCTCTCTAGACCTCACAGCTACTTTCTGTGAAACAGAAATCTCAATATACAGCTACTCTCCCTTCCCTCTCTGCAGGTCCCCATCCATTCTCTCAGCCAGGACCTCCTCCTCCTCTTGTGAAGCTGTCCACATGGCCTGGACACATCCCTGAGGGACACCACAAAGAGCGGGGTCACTGAGAAGCAAGGCTGGGACAGCACCCCCAACCTGGATGTAATGTGACACACAGCATGCACTCCACACCACCCTCCCAGGCTCCCTTCTACCCTTCTAGAATGAATGGATGTTCGTCTCGCTATGAGGACACTCAGGACACTCTGTGTGTTGTTATGGTATGCTGGGATTTCAAATACCAGACGGGTCACCTATGGTAGATGGTTCTCAGCAGAGCTTCTAGATAGCAAGACAAGCCTGCTGATCTCTTTCAGAAACACCGTGAAGCCCAGTGGAACATAGTCCAGCTGGCTTGCTTTGGACACGTCATCAGGAGGACTCCTTCTCTGAGAGGAATACCTTGTGTTTGGGGCATCAGAGTGAGAAGGTGTGCACAGTGGTTCTGGTTCTGGGCTCAAGTAAGCTGGGGATCATTGCCTTCTGCTGTAAACACGGTCACTGCAAGTCAGTGTTGGCTAGACTATCCGCTCATCTGAGCAATCAGGAAATCCAAGGCTAACTGCAATCAGGAGATCTGAGGCTAAGTATACTGCAAGCATATACAAACGGTTAGAATTCTATTTCACTCAAGGGGAATCTAACCATCACTAACATCAAGATATTGGGTGCATGAAGCTCAGCTTGCATCAGAATCACCTGGAGGACTCTGTAAACCACAGACTGTTCCAATAGTTTTGTATTTGTAGATGGGGTGGTCTGCACTCTATCATGATCCCAGGTGATGCTGGTGATCTGGCATGGGGAACCCCACACATTGAGAGCCCATGGGCCAAATATCACATACTGGCCATTAACGATTAGACCATGATGGTCGAAGGTGTCTGGGACCCAGGAGTTTCTTCAGTTTGTCACTCTTGGCCGACAACAGAAACACCATATAAAAGTTCAGGTTTAGGAAGCACTGGTGTCTGTTAAAGGCAATGGAAATTTTGCCAATGGATACTGGTAACAGTTACACGACATGGTGAGTGTAATTTATGTCACTAAATTGTCCCTGTGAAAATGTTTGCACCGATTTCTACCACAGTATACAGTTAATTAAAACAGAGAGAGAAAATGACTGGAAACCAAGTAGAAGTTAGAAGAGGATGAACTTACCACCACATCTCTTCTCTTCCACACTACTGGATCTGGCCACAGAGACTTCTGGGAAAAGAAAAAACCCAACCCCAATGAGAACATATTGTGGGATGAAAGATCACTTCAAAGGTGTGCGAGGTTCATTTTCACGTGAGTCAAGTTTTCCGAAAGTCTGAGGTGGTTCTGAAATCAGCCTGAGACGTGTCATGGGGGGAGACTCATAAACACTAAGAGGAAATGCCTCAGTCCCCTCAGCTGAGACCGGGTCGGGGCTTCCCTGGGGTATTCCTGCCCAGATCCTGTGTTTGATCAAAGCAAGTGTGTCCTGCTCCTTCTCTGTGGGACCAATCCACAAGGCTCTGAGGACACAGGGAGAGCACTTATGGTCCATGCAAAAGGCCCTCCGTGCTCTGTAGTCACACATGAAAGCCCCCACAGGATGCTGGGAAGAGTGAAGGTCTCACGCTTGAACCCCAAGAATAAAGCACTGTGTCAGGAATCCAACCCTGTCTTCTTCTCCGTACTGATTTTTCATCACACAATGAGAATGAAAGCTAGGTCACGGTGAAAAATGAGAAAATCCAGCCAGAGCACCTACTCTACGTGACTGGATGTCTTCGCAATCTAAAGCTCGTCACTGTCTCTAAAGCGGTATTGTTTCCTTACACGGACAGAGCCAGAGAACACGGGTTCACACACTTAAATCCAGTTATTAGTTTGTTGCTGACTGGTGTTGGCTGGGGCAAAGCACGTGGCTCACAGTGACGAGCCAACACAGACACCTGACACAGAGAGTCCTCTGAAAAGTCAGCGGCCTGAGGTAAGCCCCCCTCTACCCCGCAATGACGAAGGTCACGGATCTGCTGAAGTCCTAACTTGTCTCTGAAGGTGGTTTCATTAACCTAGTCCTGGGTAAGTAGGGTGGGGTCTAATCCTCATCCCTCATAGATGAGAAGGGTGGGCTCAGACATAAAGAGCCAGACACAGGGAGAAGACAGATGGACTGATGTATCCACAGTGGGCCCTAGACACCCAGGATTGAGGGCAGGCAGCTGCCAGTGACGCAGCTGCAGTTTCTCCCTGGGCACCATGGAAAGGTCCAGCACAGGCAAGAGGCTGACTTTGGAATGTGAGAAAATACAGTTCTGTACTTAAACGCAGTTAATTTTGTAGCATTTTAGGAGACTAAGGCAATGCGTCAAGGAGCTCTGGTAGCGCAGTGATTATGAGCTGGGCTGCCAAGCTCAAGTTTGGCAGTTCGAAACTACCAGCGGTTCTGTGGGAGAAAGATGAGGCTTTCTGCTCCCATAGAGATTTATACACTCGGAAACCCTGTGTAGGGTCACTATGAGAGTCGGGACCGACTCCACGGAAATTAACAACAAGAAGGCAATGGGTCTAGATGTTCCCCAGTACACAGACATGTCTCGTTGGGCTGTGTTACAAACAGAAGGTCTGTGGCAGCCCTGTGCTGAACACACCAACTGATGCCATTTCTTCCCAGAAGCATGTGCTCACGTTGTACCTCAGTGCCACGTCTGGTCATGCGCACAGTGATTGTAAATGGTTCACACCCCATCCAGGAGTCCTGGTGGCTCAGAGCAACTCTAATGTGGGCAGTTTGAACCCAGCAGCCCCTCCATGGGAGAAAGATGAAGCAGTTTGCTTCCATAAAGATGACCGCCTGGGAAGCCTTCAGGCTCAGGTCTCCTCTGTCCTGTAGGGTGGCTATGAGTCGATCGGGGCAATGGCCGTGGGCTTGGGTTGGTTTGACTGAGTAGTCAGAGCCAGCTTACCTACTCTCTGCGCTGGGAAACCCACAGCTCTGTGACCTGCTTCCTCGTGTTGCCACAGTGTTTCCAGGGTCAGCCTGTGTTAGAACCACAGAGAGAAGGATCACTCTGTGTCCCAACCCAAACAGCCAAAGGAAACACTTTCATTCTTTTGAGCAACATTTTCTGACTGCATTGTTGTTCCTGTTAGGAGCCGGGGAGTCCGTTCTGACTCACAGCGACCCTGGAGGGGTTTTCAGGCTTTGTCAATCTTTACACGAGCAGAAAGCTTCATCATTTTCCCATTTGACAGAATTAAGAGGAAACAAATCACAGACAGCATCACGTTCAAAATCAAAACTTAAGCTTGTGAACTAAATTCAAGTCTAATCCTGCGATTGTCTCGAAATTGACACTTCCATCCCCACAAATCCACGAGAGTAGATAGACTATAGCCTTGTTCCATGACACGGGGGCTCCAAGAGCAGGGTGTTGGGACACGGGCTGGTGCTGACCAGCAGTCCTCCCTCACCTGGAATGAAGTTGGAGTGGAAGGTACACGGCCGGCTCTCTGTGCTGTTTCCGGAGCATTGGCTGCCCACAGGGAAGAGGAGGAGGCACTGGCGGGCACGGGCCTGGGCTCCAGACGCGTCACACTCGGACCACTGGGACCATTGGGACCAGCTCTCTGCAGCAACCAGGAGAGAGCAGGACAGGACTCAGTGGTTACATCAATCACCCTGGGACTCTAGCAAGGTGACTGCCCTGAAGGGGAAGATGCGTTAGGATAAAGACTCGTGGTATGGAGCTGTAGGAGCGGCACTGGACTGTGAACCTCAAGGTCGGCAGTTCCAGCCCACCAGCTGCTCCTCAGAAACCCCGTACATGGCCGCTATGAGTCAGAAACGGCTCAACAGCATGTATATGGATAACAACGTGATATGGGAGTCCTGGTGTGGCACTGTAGGATAAGCACTGGACTGTAAGGTCAGTTTGAACTGCCATCCTTGTAGTTCAAACTCACCAGCTGCTCCTTGGAAACCCTATACAGGGTCCTATTGAGTAGGAACCAATTCTATGGTACTTCACAACAACGACATGGTGTGGGGCTGTAAAATAAACACTGGAATGGTAACTGCAAGGTCGCCAGTTCAAGCCCACCAATGGATCCTTGGAAATCTTATATAGGGTCACTATGAGTCAGAACCAACTCAACAGTACACAACATGTTTACAGAAAGAGTCTTGGTTTTGCACTGGATTAAGCATTGGGCTGCAACTGCAAGGTTGTTGTTAAGTGCCATCGAGTCGGTTCTGACTCACAGCGATCCTATATATGGCTTCTGAGAAATGGCTGGTGAACTTGAGCTGTTGACCTTGAGGTTCAACCCATGCTTGCAGTCAAATGCATTAACCCACAGCACCACACCAGGACAAGGCAGGTGGTTCAAACTCACTGGCTGCTCCACAGGAAAAACATGAGGCGGTCTGCTCCCGTAAAGATTTAGTCTCAGAAACCCTAAGTCCAGCTAGCTATGCATTGGAATGGACTCACTGGTGGTGGGATTGAAGCCATCCCTGGCTGGGGAAGGAGAGGTGTCGGGCTGAGCAGCCGCAGGGACTCACCTGGGCATGGCTGCGTGTTGCAGAGTGCCTCCTCCGTGTGAAGCCCCAGGCAGATGTCACCTCCATAGGCTGGCGCTGGGTTCGAGCAGGAACGTGTTCGCATGTAGTGTCCGCCGCCACACGTCGCAGAGCACTTGGACCAAGAGGACCAGCAGGACCACACACCATCCACTGCAGAGGGTCACAGGGTCACACTGCTTCAGATGCCGTCCCACCAACATGACACAGTCATACAGGGTCACACCCACTTAGATCCAAACCCACCGTGACATCTCTACACAGAGTCACACCGCTTCAGATCCCGTCCCACCAACGTGACAGTCACACAGGGTCACACTGCTTCAGATTCCCGTCCTGCCAATATGACACAGTCACACAGGGTCACACCGCTTCTGATCTAAACCCATCAATGTGATACAGTCACACAGGGCTACACCACTTCAGATGCCGTCCCGTCAATGTGACAGTTATACAGGGTCACACTGCTTCAGATCCCATCCCGCCAATGTGACATCTCTACACAGGGTCACACCCTTCAGATCCCGTCCCACCAATGTGACAGTCATACAGGGTCACACTCCTTTAGATCCAAACCCAGCAAGGTGACCTCACTCTACACAGCACACTCGAAACTTTCCAACATGACATCATTCTACAGGGTCACAACAAATTAAATCCAAACCCACCAATGTGAGGTCATTATGCAGGATCACATTGTTTCCGGTCCCTAACCCGCGAATATGATGTCATTACACACAGTCACATCATTTCAGAGCCCAACAGCCAAGGTGACATTTCTACATAGGGTCACATTGTTTGGGTCCCAAATTGGTCAATATGATGTCATTTTACAAACTCACACCATTTCACATTCCACACCCATCACTGCAACATCATTATACAGGGTCACACCATTCAAATCTCAAATCCACCAACATTACACAGAGTCACACTATTTCAGATCCCAAAGCTGCCCAATCTCCAGGTAGGACTGTACTGCAGGAACGCACCCATGCCAACAACAGCAACGCTGCTGGCCAGCCACAGGGAGCGCTGGTTTTCCTCCTGGGGAGAAATCTATGTTTCCATTTAACCTGACTTTCAGAACCTGGGTCTAAAACGTGTGATGTGCAGGAAGCCTGAAGGTGACAGTGAAGGGCAAAGGATGGAATGCCGAGTCCTATGGCAGGAGCTAACCCAGAGCACCTAGCCAGAGCTCACCTCTGTTACCTGTACAGTCAGCCAGTCAGACAAGACTGAGAGCTGAGGAGAAGCAGCTCAGGCCACAGACTTCCTTAGGGAATACGATTCTGCACAGGAAAGCCGGGGAAAGAGAAGCCAACAGGTGATGTGTAGGAGGGCCCGTGATGGAGGCTTTGTAGTAAAGAACCCGGCCTCACTGGAGAGGTCTGGCTTCTGTGCCTGGTTGCCGGATGACAACCTCTAAACCCAAGGAAGTTCTGGAATGAAGGGAGTGACTGCATTCAAGGTAGGTCCCAGGGACCACATGGGATAGCTTGTACCAATGAGGTGGCTCATGGAGGACCCCCAGGTCCATGATTTTAGCCAATCCTCTAAGGAGTGGAGGATGCTGGCGACCATGATCAATCAATCAACCATTCATGCCTATGTAAGGAAGTCCCAATCTAAACTCTGGACACCAAAGTTCATGGTCTTCCCTGAACTTCCATGTACGTTTTCACACATTGATCCAGGAGGGAATGGATCACAACGACGCGGAAAGCTTTGTGTTTGAAGCCTTCTAGACTCCACCTTACATGTCTCTTTGTTGGCCTTCTCTCTGTAGTCAACCTTCTCTGTGAGGACAGCTTCCAGTGGGTTCTAGCTCTTTCTTATGAATTACCAAACCCCGGGTGGCTTGGGAACCCCCTGACTTGCTGTTGATGTCAGAATGAGGGGGTCTGTGTGAACACTTTCCTCTAACTCTGTGGTTGGACCCTCCTTGCAGTTGAGATGAGAAGTCTTGCGCTGACTTGGCGCTTCACCTGGCTGTCTGACTACCTCTGGTAGGTAAATTCAGTCACTAAATGACCAGAGTGAGTACACATCAGGCACACCTCCTAAGGTGATTACACAACAGTCCAAAGAGGAATCCAAACACCCGCAGCTCGACTCCAGGTTGGTATTAATACAGTTTCTAATGGGAAGACTGCTCAGAAACAGTCCTTGATGAACGGCTTTCACAACTCTTAACCCACAGCCTCCCCTCCCCCTTTACTCTCGGCTGTCTGAGTGAGACCTGGGGGCTGGCCTCCTGAGCGTTGGAGTCAACTGGTCCACCACGGCTGAGGAGACCCAATGCTCTGTTCCCATCAGCTGCGTTTCTAAATCTGGTGACAATGATGTTGCAGATATGTCTTGCTGTTTGGTTTATTACAGATGGATGGACCCCGCTTGCTAAATGGCTCTGCTCTATTGTTGCTGATCTTAGAATGAGGCCAGGGGACTTTTCAAAGGAAGCATTCCACTCACATTAGATGACCAAAGAGCAATCGTAACCATGTCTAATTAGAACAAGCTGGTAAAATTCCATTTAGTGGAACACTGGATGGGTTATTTATATACAGGTCTCAATGAGTGAGTTCTGGTGGATTTGAACTGCCAAACTTGTAGTTAGAAGTCCAGTGCTTACTCTGCAGTGCCATGCCAGTAATATATTACTCAGCCATAAAAAGGAATTATGTTCTGATACATGCTCTGTCATGTATGAGTCTCAAAATATTAAACTAAAGTGAAATAAACCACCCTTCCCCACCCCCCTTGGCAGGTGTAGGATTCCGTCTTATGAGACGTCCAGGGCAGAAAAGACACTGGCGGTTGCCCAGGCCTGGAGGAGGGAGGGTGGAAGGAGACAGTGGACACAGGTCTTGTCTGGGTGACAAATGTGCTGAGGGACAGTCAGTGGGGAGGGTGGCACATCTTGCGACAGCACTAAACGTACCAGTTAACTTCAAAAAGTTCAGGGGGAAATACTACTATCCATCAATTCCATTTTCCTATGAACTTTTTGAAGCCCCCCCCCCCCCCAGTGTGTATTTTTGACAACAGACATCTTTTACAGAGCTGAGGAGAGATCCGTCATCGCTATAGGTAACCAGTATCGTGTTTTGCCTTCTTTGGATCACAATGAAAAGAAAGGGAGCAGCGAAGGGACAGGGAGCCACAATTGTTCACGTGACCAGGGTGTTCTGGCCACAGTGACCACTTAGTACCGGAATGTGCCTACCTTGAGGCAACACTTCTTTACCGAGAGATGATCTTTACTCCCTTCTTTGACCTGGGAAGAAAGTACTAGAAGGATTGAAAACCTTCATGGGGAAATGCTATTCTCTTTTCACTCCATTTTGCCAACAACTTTTTTGAACTCCCATCTTGCATTTTTGAGAAATATCATCTCGGCCACAGTATTTTAATTTGCACAAGGTAAACAAAATAGCATCCAGACCCAATTTAAACGTAAGCTTATGGCGACGCTGGGGTTCTGAGAGTCCGTGGTGGATACCACAGTGCTGATTTCATCAGCATGCGCCCTAGAAGTCAGGAACGTAAATAAGAGTGTGCGGAGGCTTCAAACTGTGTGTGGACAATGGAGTGACATGCATTGTCTGCCAAGCTGTTTGTGGTTGTAAGAGTGATCCCCCTCGCCTGCTTCTACCTGTCATCTCACCTGTCTGCCTATGTGTCCCCTTGAAGGTAACTTTTGTTTCTAAAAATGCAGGACGGTGTGTCTGTTGGCATTTATCTTTGGTGTCTGCAAGTCTTAAGTGCCCCTTGGGGTCTTCCTTCTCCATCGTAGTATTGTGCTGTTCACCCCAATTTATGTTGCCTTTCCTTTCACACAAATTGAGGCATGTCCATTATCTTGTTAGAGTCCTGCTGTGGTGCTGTGAGTTAATGAGCTGGACCACAAAGTCAAGCTCACTAGCTGCTCCTTGGAAACCCTATACAGTGTCGTTATGGGTTGGAACCAACTCAGTGGCACTTAACAACAATTATTTTGTTGAATGAACCAAATTAATAACAAAAGGACAAATATTATATGATCCACAATGAGGAAAGTTAAGGAAAGGGTTACATGTAGAAAAAAACAAACAAACAAAAATTATCTGATGTTAATCAGATAAAAGAGCTCTGATAGCGTAGTGGTTACGAATCGGGCTGTGAGCCGCAAGGTCAGCAGTTCGAAACTACCAGCTGTTCCATGGGAGAAAGATGAGGCTTTCTGCTCCTGTAAAGATTTCCAGCCTCGGAAACCCTGTACAGGGTCGCTATGAGTCGGAACTGACTCCATGGCACAAAACAACAACAACAACAACAATCAAGGATAGGAGAGGAGGGGAAAAATTACTAATTCCAACTCCTTGCTGAGTTACAGCCCGTCTCTGGTGTTGGAATGTTCTAGAAGGTGAGAGAGGACTGATACCCACACTGCTCAGCCTGGGAACTTGCTGACTGACAAGTGGGCAGTGGGACTGGGCATTCCTGACAATTTCTAACACCCGACAGAAAACGAGGGCAGAGTTATTTTGAGATCTTGCGGCTCTGGACACAGGATTCTGGCTTGACCGTCAAGTCAGCCAAGGGAAGAAGAGCGGGCAGAATGTTTCAGTACAGTGCCTCTGGGATGGGCCATGACCCTCTGCACTTGAGGACACAACATTGCAGCATCCTGAGGAATGTGCATGGGACCTCTACACAGTGGGGCTGGGGGTGGGTAAGGGTCCTGACATTCCCATAGCCCCCGCCTAGCTCGTATTCATAGCCTGGACCTCATGGAATGGTGGTGGCCCACAGACCCCTCCCAGCTCCTGGGGGAGGTTACTTTACACTCAGTGCTGGGAGCTATGGGAAAAATCAAACTCGATGACCTCTCCAGGCCCCTCAGCATCAGCCTGGCCAGAAAGGGTGGCCCCTTGAGGAGGGAGGAATTCAGTAGCGGCGTTGGGGGGGTGGGGGAACAGTTCAGCATCAGAGGGGGGACAACAGGGAACCTCAACTACAGAACTGGTGCTGGGGGCTCCATAGTTGCCATTTCATGTCCACCCTCCACCCATCCATCCTTTTATTGATCCACCCAACTGCCTGCTTTTCTATCAGCTCTTCCATCCATCTTCCCATCCATTGATCCACCAGTTCCTTCATACACCCATCCATTCACCTAGACCTCTGTCTGCCTACCTATAACCACACACCATCCTTCCATCCAATCACCCATCCATTTACTCATGTAGACATCTCTCCATCCATTCAAACAGATCTATGTTGGAAGAAGTGCAGCCAAAATGCTCCTTGGAGGCCAAGTTGGTCAGACTTCGTCTCTCATACTTCAGACATATTGTTAGGAGAGACCAGTTACTGTTGAAGGATATCATTTTTGGTAAGGTGGAGGGTTAGAGAAAAAGAGAAGGACCCCCAGCAAGATGGACTGGCCAAGTGGCAGCAACGATGGGCTCAAGCATGGCAACAATGGTGAGGTTGGCCCAGAATTGGGCAGTGTTTCGTTCTCTTGCACATAGGGTCTTTATGAGTTAGTACTGACTCAATGGCACCTAATAACAACAACAACAAACCGTTCATCCACATTTCCACATAGCCAACATCCATCCATCTACCCATTCATCTTGGACTGGCACAGTGGTAGCTACTGTGAGATGACGCAGGACTGGGTGGTGTTTGCTCTGTTGTCCATAGCAACCAACTCAATGGCACTTAACAACAACAATCCATTCATCTATCTGTTCAACAGCATCCATCTGCCCTGCCCTCTTCCACCCTCAACAGTCAGAGCATTTTTAATCCTCCATGTCATGGACACCTCACTCACTGCTTGGCATGATGCACACGGTGTGCTGTCTTCTGAGCAGAAGACACACTGGGGCCGGGACCACTGCGCCTGCCTCTCTCACCACAGTAACTGACATACCCAAGAAACTCTTCCCGGGTGTTGAATAGAGGAGGAAACGAGTTGCTTACTTCATCTTCCTTCCATCCTTTTTTTTAAAAGCAAACTCTTTTGGACAAGCCAGCATGCACGGAGCACGGGGCACACAAGGACAGGGATGTGGCCCAAGTAGAGAACTCACAGGTCAGTGAGGCGGTTCTGTGGGGCCAGTGTCAGCCAAGCTCAGATGGACACAACACGCAGGGGCTATAGCAGCAGAGAAACCCTGCAAGCCTTCCTTCCAAAATGCCTAATGACACCAAATGAGCTGTTCTGAGCCAAGTCCTGAGAGACAGAGCGGAGTTGGCCAAATAGACAAGTGGGAATGGGGGGCAGGGGTCATTTCAAACACCGGGTACATCACTTTTAAAGGCACAGGATCGTCATGTCTTTCCCAGCGGGCACCGGCAGTATTCTGAGTTCCTTGAACAAAGAGCTAGCTTGTCTCAGGTGTTTAATTCAGCTAATGCCAGATGGTAGCCCTGCTGGAAATACCAGCTTCCTCTTAGGGCAGCATACACACTGCATGGTAACCAAGTCTCTTGATTGACAGAGTTGGAAACAATGGTGTCCGGCTCAAAGATGGCAGCCAACCACAGAGCTGTGAGTGTGTGTTGCGCTTCACAGCCCAGCAATAGTCCCGTGCCACACATTAGGTCCTGAAAGGGCTCACTGTGCTTCTTCAGAGTCTCCCATGTCAGAACTTCAACCCAGAACGATTTTCTGTTTCAGTTATCATTCCTACTCACCCTTTCACTTTGTTGGCCGTGACTGTACTGGTTGGAAGCCTTGGAGAAGGAGCCCATAACTGAGAAGGGTGGGTTTTAAACCTGATTCACTGCTGAGTTATAAAAGCATCAGAATACACACAGACATCCATGCAAGCTGTGTGAGGAACGCCAAGGAATTCACCGACAAGGAAGTGTCTGCCTGGAGCCAGAGCCCTGAACTTGGAGGTCTAGTCTAGCTGTCAGACCTCTATTTTTGTCCTTTAAAGGCACCCGTATGATATTTCTATTACACCCATTCTAGGTGACAGACTCTGGGCCTATCCAGCAGACAAGGACCTCACCGGGCATCAGTTACTAGCCGAGCCTACCGAGCCTGGCCATCCCTTACCCCCTTTCCCTAGACGGTGCCTGGCCTCACCTGGGCAGGGCAGGATGTTGCACTCCTGGTACTCCAGGGCCGGACCCAGGCATGGCAGCCCCCCGTATTTGGGTTCAGGGTTGTTGCAAACTCGTTTCCGGTTCCGGATGCCACGGCTGCAGTCACGGCTGCACTGAGACCAGGATGTCCAGGCAGACCAAGCGCCATTGACCATGTGGGCCGAGTACCTGCCTGCACGCAGGAAGTCCCCAGAGAGGCCTGGAAGGACAGGGAGAGAAGGACAGTCCATTAGGAGTCAGCCACACCAACACCCCTCGGTCTCACTCGCCTGCTTTGTGTTGACAATAAGTCTCCTACAGTCAGCAAACACTTTTTACACTTCAGTACGAAAACAAAGCACTTGAGTGCAAGCCTCCTTGAACTCAAGCAGATTTCTCTGCAGTCACTTCCAACAAGGGTGTAACAGTGGCAGGGTCCTCGTGGACCCTCTGTCTGCTCCCAGAGGTCCACTCACTGCTCTGAGAAACCGCTTCTTCCAAAGACAAATTCTTTCAAAATTTATCAATGAACAAACACAAATCTTGCAGCTCGCACATGTGTGCTGAAGTGAAGGTGGAATGGAAGTGCCCATATATACTGCAGGGACCACTGGTGATGCGGTGAGCTCAGCACTGGACTGTTAACTTCAAAGTCGTCGGTTCAAACTCAGCAGCTGCTCCATGGGAGAAAGATGAGGCCGTCTGCCCCCTAAAGACCTGCCATTGCTGTTGTGAAGTGTCGCTGAGTTGGTTCCGGCTCACAGCCACCCCGTCTGTATAGGGTTTGCAAGGAGGCAGCTGGTGAGTTTTAACCCCTCCTTGTGGTTTATAGTCCAGTGCTGACCTTACAGCACCACACCAGGAGTCCTAAAGAAGTACAGTCCCAGAACCCTAAGGAGCAGTTCCACTCTGCCCTACTGGCTTACCATGTTAAAATGATTTGAAGGGACTGGGGCATTTGGTGCTGTGAATGATTTAATGCGTTTCTTCTAGGTTTAGTCTTCGTAACTCCTACTCAAACTTCTCTCATCCTTGATGGGTCTGGATGAGAGAAGGTGGGAGCAGGTACGGAAAGGTTGGCATGATTCAGCTGTACACGGTACCAGAGTTCACTGTGGCTGGGAAAACTTGAAACTCTAGCGTGGGTATAAAATGCGTCCCCTCAGAAGTGGGAGCAGGGAAGTTCATTTCCATTGTTGAAGAGTGGAGCAGGGACTTTGGACCCTGATGTCCCCACATGCTGAACCTCTTCGACCCAGGGACAAGAACGCTGTGACACCCAAAGAGGGGCAGAGGAGCATCAGCAGCACAAAAGTCGGAAGCTGAGACACAGCACGTGGCCGTCCAGCTCAGAGACCAAGTCAAGCTTGGTGACGTTGGGCAGGAGGCTGGCTCGCAGAGTGGGGTGCCTTCAGGCACTTGATTGGGGAGGCTACATTGGCTAATCTATGGAGCTAGAGCTGAACGTCTTCAAGCTGAGGCTTGACCATTTAACAGCAGTCCTAACTGGAAGAGCCGTGCCCTGAGCATTTCTGACCCGGAACTGGGACCTGTTAATCACCCTAAGTAATTCCCTAGCTGTGAGCACCAGGTGATCAGTGCAGTGAACTATGGAAGCCAGATAGGACTGCCACTGTCGTGAGCTGCTGTCCAGTCCACTGTGACTCATGGTGACGCCAGGTGTGTGATGCAGAACTGCTTCACGGGGTTTGCAGAGTTGTGACTTTTCGGTAGCAGAGCGCTAAGCCTCAGGAAGCGCTGTGTTGGCTTGAAGCACCAACTTTCGGCCAGTGGCTGAGTGTTTAGCTGTTTGCACCGCTCTTACTAACCTTAGGATAAAAAAGAGTTAGTTTTGGTTTTCTTTGTATCTGAGAACAAAAATCCTAAAAAACCTGAAGGGGTTTCAAACATGCATGGAAAAATTGCACGCTCTTTTAATCCTTCTTCTTGAAGTATCCTGGTACACGTTCCGGAAGGAGAATAGATTGAATGTGTAGAGTACAAGTGTCATTCACTCCCGTTATAAAAATCTGATGTCAGAGGAAATGAGATGGTGCAAACCCTGCTTTGAAATACGGAAATCAGTCCGAGAATTCAGATCAATTAATCCCACTGCCTTTGAGGCAATTCCAACTCCTAGCGAACCTACAGTTCACGGGAGAAGGGCTCCACAGGCCTCCTAAGGCTGTAAATCTTCAAGGGTGCAAGCAGCCTCATCTTTCTTCCGCAGATGCCTGTTGGGTTTGGACCACCTACCTTGTGGTAAGTAGAACATGAAGCCACCAGAGTCCCCTGTACTATACTACAGTTAGGGTTGCCACACTTGGCAAATAAAAATACAAGGCAACCAGTTAAACTTAAATTTCAGATTTAAAAAATAAAACAAATGTTTTTAGTACAAACGATGCACATAGTTTTTGTTGTTAAGTACCATCGAGTCAGTTCCGACCCATAGCGACCTTGTATTGGGTTTCCAAGGAGTGGCTGGTGAGCTTGAACTGCCAACCTTGCAGTTCAAAGTAACTTTGCAGTCCAGCCTGTTAACCCACAGTACCACACCTGGTATATAAAATATCTCTGGAGTGTTGTTGATCTTGTTAGGTGCTGACTTGACAGTTGTGATTCATAGTGCCCCTATGCACAACAGAACAATACACTGTCCAGTCCTGCGCCAACCTCAAAATCGTTACATCTGAGCCCAGAGTTGCTGTCACAATCTATCTAGTTGGGGGTCTTCCTATTTTTCTCTGACCCTCCACTTTACCAAGCATGATGTCCTTCTCCAGGGAATGGTCCCTCCTGATAACATGTCCAAAGTATGAGAGACTCGTCACCCTGGCTCCTAAGGAGCATTGTGGCTGGATTTCTTCGAACACAGATTGGCTTGTTTTTCTGGCACTCCATGGTATTTTTAATATTCTTCACCAACACCAAACGCATCAATTCTTCTGTGAGCTTCCTTATTGATTGTCCAGCTTTCACATGCATATGAAGCTATTCAAAATAAGATGGCTTGGTAAAGGCATAACTTAGTTTTTTACAACTTCAATCTTTTCTCCATTGATAAGAATGTTGTTTATTGGTCCAGTGGTGAGGATTTTTGTTTTTTTGACATTGAGATGTAATCCATACCGAAGGCTGTGCTCTTTGATCTTCATCAGTTAAATATTTTAAGTCCTCTTGCCTTTCAGCCAGCAAGGTTGTATCATCTGCATATGGCAGGTTGTTAAGGAGTCTTCCTCCAGTCCTAATGCCACATTTTTCTTCATATAGTCAGCCTTCTCAGATGATTGGTTCAGCGTACACACTGAATAAGTATGGTGGAAGAACACAAGCCTGGCACACACCTTTTCTCTTTTTAAACCATCCAGTATACCTGTTTGCTATCTGAATGACTGCCTCTTGGACTATGTCCAGGTTTCTCACGAGCACAATTAAGTGTTCTGGAATACCCAGTCTTCAAAATGTTATCCATAGTTTATCATAATCCACATAGTCATAAGTTTTTGCATATTCAATGAGGCACAAGTAAACATCTTTCTGGTATTCTCTGCTTTCAGCCAAGGTCATCTGACATCAGCAATGATATCCCTAGTTCCACCATCCTCTTCTGAATCTGGCTTTAATCTCTGGAAGATCTGTTGATGATGTACAGGACTATTTTTGAATGATCATAAGCAACATTTAACTTGTATGTGATATTACAGATATTGTTTGATGATACCCATATTCCATTGGATCAATTCTCTTCCGAATGGACACAAATATCGATCTCTTCCAATCAGTTGTCCAGGTAGCTGTAGGCCAGATTTCTTGGCATAGCTGAATGAGTGTGTACAGTGCTGCATCAGTTGGTTGACAGATTCAATCTGTATTCCGTCCATTTCTGGAGTCTTGTTTTACACCAATGCCTTCGGTGCCGTCAGTTCTTGAACACATGCTACCTCATAAAATGTTGCAGACCGTGTAAGACTAATCAGAGGTTCGAGGCCCGCTAGGGCCGAGTGTAACAAATGAGGCCACTGGCAGTTAATGGCAAATTGCTTTCATATTAATATTCAGGTATATATATTAAATTAATACACTGGAGCCTTTGACA